CTTTGAGCCAAGCAGGTGCACCCTGAACTTGACAAGTGCATACTTCATCGCAGGTAATTCCTTGTCGTGGACTTGGTAGTTCATCTTCGCAGCCTTAAACTGACGAGATTTGACCGATCTCGCCCCTCGGCGTCTGTTTGCAGCAGTGCACAGCCGATGGCAACGTCCGAAGCGTCACAGACGACACTAAACGTACTATCGGGGTCTGACAACGCCAGAAACGGTGCAAGGGTAAGGCTGTCTTTGACCCTGTCAAAAGTCTCCCGATGTGTTTGAGTGTCCCGGCACCATTCTGTATCCTTACCAAGGAGATAAGACAATGGTTACGCTATTTCCGCATAATTCGCGCTATACTGGTGCAAGTAGCTGGCAAGGTCAAGCCACTTGCGCAAGTCTTTTTAGTTCTTTGGAACCGGCCAGTCCATAATGGCCTTGACCTTAGCGGGATCAGCTCGATGGCCACGCTTCCCAACGAAGCACCCTAAAAGAGAAATCTTATTCGTGTTCATTCACTCGAGCACCGCTCTCAAATAGACGATGTGGTTTTCCTCATCTGTACTCTCGTGCCCTGCACAACTGTGGATGAAGATCTCGTCAAAGTGCATACGCCCGATGGGGCCTGAACACAAGACGATTAAATGTTGATGGTGCATTTGACAGCCCTTGGGGCATCACCAGCAACTCCCAGAGCTTCCTGTCCGTAGCACTCACCACTGTCAGCGGAATATCACTCGCTCTCATTAGCAATTGGTAATAACCATATCCACCAAGTTGGGTGCGCTGTACTTTGTACAGCCAACCGTATTGTTCTGATGAACATCCTTTCTAGGAATCGGCGTCTGTGCCAGAATGATGGCAGCGTTTAGCTTATTATACGATACGCGACTTGCCGTTCGGCTTTCGGACGCAAAACGTGGATGTCGAACGGGGAGCCTTACTCTCATGCACCATTTCTGCCTCGTACTTCGCACGGAAAAGGGCATCAATGAAGTCACACTGCTCCTTGGACAGAGTCATTGGCGTATTCCGCAGTATTTGGCTCCCGGAACCAGGTCAATCTCATGACGCACACCCCGGTCCGGAGGTAGAACCGACAGTGGTTCTCTGGAGACGACGTCGTGAAAATCCTTTACAAGATGATAATACGAACCTGAAAGATCCTTCGGGATCGATGATTACTTCGTGTGTTCACCACCCTCTATGAGCCCTCCAAGACAGCTTCATCCAGAAGGGACGACGAGTTAATTTTCTCGTTCGGTCCTATAATGACCACCTCGGCTAGATTGCCTGCCATCAAGGCACCGCCAAACTCTTCGAAGGACATCTCGTCCAGCTCAAGAAGAGCATTTACTGGGGGAAAAGCCTCAATGGTGACGTTGCCGTCTTCCTCTTTCGTCATACTGCTGACAAAGGTATATAGCTGTGTGCTATAGTCTGCGGTAGACAAACCCTGGGTCTGGGTCGACTCCCTACGTCTTGCGGATAACAAACGGCTTCGCCGTCTTCTCTATACTGCGGTTTTACGTCTCATCGAGATCAGAGGGAACACGCACTCGGCGTCGTCCAGTGTTCACACTCCCTGCTCCATTTGAGCCTTTATGTTATTAACAACATCCGACGAAGAGCTGCTATTTCCGCAATCTTCGTGTAATGGATAACGTGCCGCTCCACGCGCATAACAAGGGTCTTGGGTAGGATGCCTTGGACCACGTCCGACCATGCCACTCTTCGCATGCAACAACTGCTTCGAAACGTGAGTAGTGCTCAGTGGTTTACGTGCCACTCCACGATCAGCCCGCGCGCCACGCCCGGGGCTCCTGTCCAAAACACCTTTGGTGTTCGAAAACTCGGATACTCCGATATCCAGCACATTGACCTTCCGGTCCAATGCCCGCACTGATAGCGCTTCAACTTCTTAGCAGAGGAAGGTTTATGACTTACCAAAGCTTCACCATGAAACATGGGCGTAGCCTTCAGGGTCTTCGACCTCCAATCAATCCATAGCTCGAGGTGTTTCAACCATGACATACCGTGCATCCAAGTCTAAGACTAAGCAGCGTTCCACGCTATCAATTTCAAGAAACTTGACACCGAGATCCACAGAGACCCTCGGCACAGTGACACAAGTCCCCATCGCTATGCGAACAGTGATGGTGCCACTCAACCGCGCTTTCAGCACTTCACCATATAGCTGACTTCCTTCGATCGTCGTCGAGCATAATTGCCCGACAAACCGGAATCGGCCAGGATCTTTCATGGCTTTGTAAAGCCCATAA